TCACAATACTAGTTTGTTTATATGGATGGAATAACTGCCAATTAGATGTGAAAAATGCATATTTATATAGAAAGCTAATTGACAGAAAATACGCGGCTCATTCAAAGGGCTTCGTTGAAGAGAAAAGTAAAGTTTGTTTATTACATAAGGCCACTTATGGTCTGCATCAAAGCAACTGTGAATTCTTTTGTGAATTTGGAAATACTTTAGAAAATCTAAATTTTAAGAAAGTACTATGGTATAATTGTATTATAAGAGTCAATGTAATTCTAATATTATGTATAGACTAGCAGGCAAGCCCGTCAGATAAGCAGATTATGGCCAAAGTAATATTTATAAGTTCTAAATACTGAAAAAATTGAAAATAAAATGAACTATTAATTAAATGTACTGTATGCAAAATTCCTAGCAGCAACCAAAGCCAAATTTATGAGTTCTATGTATACCTGAAAAGAAAGTGCATAAAAACATTTCAATATGAATGACGTCAGTTCATTCCTTCCAAGTAACAACCGATTCATAAATACTTTTTTGTTGCCAAACCAGGAAATAAAACTTCGGACACTTCATGTTAATATGCAAACATATGATGTCATGATTTAAATTTAACATAACAAATTTTTCTCAATATCAATAAAAGAATTAATGTGACAATAGCATTCCATGTCAATTATCTTAATTTGAAGCAAAAAGTTGCAATAGCAGCTATTTATTAAAAATGCTGATATTAGAGAAAGATTTTCAACATATAATAATGTCACATGAAATTACATGCTTTCTTCAGAGTTAGAACATGACTTTATATAATGATAATATATTTAATGTTTGGCAATGCTATTTTTATTTCATAAAATTTCGTAAAACAAATTTTTTATCAGGAAACTATATGATCTGAAAGCGAGCAGTGATAACACTTTTCAAAGTAAAGCAGATTTTTAACTCCAGGATGTGAGACTGTTGCCACTCGGAAAAATGAGGGCAAAAATTAGCATTTTCAGAGTTTTTAATTAATATCTAGGCTGATTAAAGTCATACAAAGATGAGAATGGTTGAAATGGCTTCCCACAAATTTTTTTAATCTGAGGGTTCCTCTCTCAAAACTTAACTCCCCACCGTTCCGGTGAAGATAATGTCCCAAACAAACAGACAGACACGCACATATTTTAATAGTATAGGTGCTATTGTAATTTTTAGTAAAGAGCAATACTGTATAGATAAAGTAATCTCCCAGTTGAGTAAGTTTTTTTACCTTAAAATACTGAACAAAACTAGAAAGTTACCAAGAATTGAATTTTTAGAAAACAACAGTGAGATTTTTATACATCAGTAAACAAATACAGAAGACATTTTTGAAAATTTTAAATACTTTCAGATACCAATAATTTTATTTCCCAAAGGCACTATTATTATTAACATAACTCTGCACTCGTAGAATGTCTATCCGCTAGTGCAGAAATCAATGAAATGAGTAAATTACTTATTAGAAATCTATTAGGATGTTTAGTTCCTGTAAGTAACACAATCAGGCCTCATATCACATATGTGGTAAATACACTATCATGATTTCAGGTGAATAGTCATAGGCATTGAAAAGCTCTGTTAAAATTGTTCAGTCATCCATACAAAAGTAAATCATACAACTTAAACCAAGAATTAAGTATCTGATGATATATTTTTTTTTTGGATGCTGATTATACAAGTATTAGAGATAACTGTGAATCCATGGGGAAGGATTCATATTATATTTAGATATGGAGGGATTCATATTATATTTAGATAAAGTACGAATAATTTGGAAAACTTATAAACAAAACAGTGTGCGTTTATCCACCATGGAGCAGAGTATATTACCTTATTGGAAGGAGCTGCTATGAAAGAAAATGTCTTAAAAGATGAAGTTTTAGTTTGAAAGAACGCAAACTCGTTCATGATAACAAATCTGCTACTGATTTTTTAGATCACCAATAGAAAACACAGACAAAGCACACTGATGTATCATGATCACTTTATTAGAACACTGGTGAGTGATAGCATGTTTGATATAGAGTTCATGCTCAGCAAATTAAATAATACAGATTTATTTATGGAAGCAATAACTGTTATGGATTTGAAGAAGTTTTGTCCAAATATTTACTTTCAGATACTAATCATCCACGAAGAATAAGTATTGTGTTCATGTTATAGAAATGAAATGAGTAATTTTGCAATTCTTTGTTATAAGTTTTAACTTTGCATGAGAAAAAGGGGACTGTTTTTGGCTCCATGGTTTTCCCTCATGCAAATTTTTCAAAGGCTAATTAATTGACAGAAAACTGATGTGGTTACTGCTGACTGGTCGATGCCTTATTGTAGAGAATGTATAAACTATGCAGCTGGTCAATTCCATACATGCTTTTGTTTTTGCTTTAGCTTTAATGTAAAACTAAATGTAAAAGGCTTTAATATAAGAGGCTGTTGCTGCAGTTTACTTAGTTTTAATAGAGTGAAATATATGTTAGTTGTTGTTTTTAATAATGTTCTTGGGTTCTTATTTCTGCTAGCAGCAAAGTATGCTTTTCAAAGTATTTCTTTATTTCTTAGTTTTGCCAATGACTACGGCAACACACTTGTCAATTGGCATGTAGCAAGATTCTTGCTATTTGCACATTTTGTAGTATGTAATTCTGCACACAGACTTCATTATTTTGAACATTAGTGACTACATCACACAAAATCATTGCATTTCTTATGACTAAATGCATATCATATTAAGTGGATTTCATATATATGATAAATCATGATTGATAGTAAAAGAAAAAAAATTTACTGTTTTGATAATATCAGAGAACAATTTTATATTATGGATTTCAAAAGCAAATGTATCTGCTTACTGTGCAATAACAGTGTAACAATCCCCTAGAAAAGTATCATCAAGAGACTTTCGAAATTATTCATTCAAATTTTGCAACTTGTGCGCTCTGAAATAGCAAAAAAGATATCTTCCTTAATATAGCTATTATCAAAAAACAAAGCACTTTTGCTAAACATTTGGAACAGTCTAAAACTGCAAAAACTACATCATTTGAAATCTAACATATATTAGTTATAAGTAAAAAAAACCATATAAAGATGAGTATTTAATAAAAGAAGTCATATTAATAAAAATTAATCATAAAATTTTGACTTTTCAATGACTGAAAAAACGCCTCGCTGCAGAATTCGAGCTTATTACGAGCAACTGAGAGTTTCAGAGAGGTCGTATCATTGGATTGAAAGAGGCAGTTTGGGCAAATCGGAGAATCACTCATCATATGACTCGAAGCGATGCAGCAATTAGAAGATGCTGGCAAGAATGGGGAGACAATGGCAGATTTCAGCATCATGATGGTAATGGTCGATCTAGGGCCACAACAGATCGGGAGGACAGAGTGATTGTCATATTAGCTGTCACAGTGCCTGATTCATCGCTATTAACCATCAGATGTGCGATCTGCACATGAGTGGCCACCATGCTATTCACAGGTGGCTGATAGAGTGAAATCTATGCTCATACCGACCGTTACGACACCCACACCTGCACACTGTCGTGCCAGATTACAGTGGTGCTTGGCTCGATCAGGTTAGAATGATGCTGACTGGGGACATTCTGTCTTTAGCTACGAATCCCTCTTCCAACTGTGTTGTGACGATCATTGAAGACATGTCTGGAGATGCCCAGAGCAGCGTGCCGAGCCTGCTTTCACTATTTCACACCACACAGGCCCCCAATCAGGCGTTATGGTCTGGGTTGCCATTTCCCTTGATAGCCAGACCCCTTCGGTCATCATTAGAGATACACTTACAGCATAGCAGTATGTCGACGACATTCTGAGACCTGTTTTGCAAATGTTCTTTTGCAGTACCCTGGCCTTATTTTTCAGAAAGATAATGCCAGGCCACATATGGCACATGTTGCTATGAACTGTCTTACAGCTTGTCAGACACTTCATTGGCCAGCCAGATCTCTCTCTCCCATCGAGCATGTCTGGTATATGATGGGAAGGCAACTGCATCTACCAGGGAATGTTGATGATCTAGCCCAACAGTTGGAGCAAATTTGGCAAGAAGTACCACAGGAGACCATCCGGGAGCTCTATCAGTCTATGCCATGGCATGTGGCAGCTTGCATCGAGGCTAGAGGTGGGTCAACACCTTATTGAGCTCGTTACTTTGTAACTATGTAACTCTGAAATAAATCATTCAATTGTTCTTAAATTTAAATAATTTTCTTTTCTGTACATTATCTTCCTATGCACTAATTTTTTGTCTCCATCAGATAACTCCTTCTTGGTGTGTCAACTTTTTTTTTAAAGAGTGTATTTGAAATGTCGTCACAGTATACTGAAGTTCATCAAAATATTGAATCCTTTATCAAACCCTTGCCAAAAAATAAAACAATAAAATTTACTGTTACACAGAAATGTTTGAATAGAAGAGGCTAAAAATGACAAAGGTGCAGATATCAATGATGAAAAACATGCAATTTAAAAAATTATTTCTAATAAGGAGATTTGAATTTATTAATCATGTTTTATTTATCGAGAAGCAGGGAGAAATGTTTTAGAACCAATTTAAATCTATTTTTAAATCTTCTGAAAAAAATTTGGAGGAAAAAATATAAATTATAACTCAAAAGAATGGAATAATATCAGGTTTTAATGAAATTTTTCTGCCATTGCAAATATTGGCTGTGCAAACAGATCATGTTGGCATGTTCTGTCAAACAATTTTTGGTATGTAAAGGAAAGAGACTTCCTTTAGAACACTGTGTTGCAAAATTTGTAAAAAAATATCGTTAATATCGTTAATATCGTTATCATTAAGTACAAGGTGTCTAAAATAGAACTATTATGCTACCATACCATTTACTGAGGAGGGCATAAAAATTTCATTTTTTAATATAAAAATGCACATACATAAGCAAAATTATTAAACTTAGTTTACTTAAAATATTATACAACAGGAATGAAAAAACAAGTTACCTCAGTATTTATTTTATTACACTGTAACAACTGACTAGTTGCAATTATATTGCCTCTCATTGCAGCATAATGCAGCGGACTCATGCCATAATTATCTTGAACATTAACGGAGGCTCCTTCTTCAATTAACATACAAATGACAGTTTTGCAAGAATTGGTTGGACTTTCAATGTTCTAAAAATGATGAAAAATTATGTTAAACATTTTGAAGTCAAGAATTGTACAGTCTGCACTACCAGTTTTCTAATTTATGGAAGTTACAATAAACGGATGCATAAAATAGCAATGAAAACAACATACCAAGCATTTTGATCCTTTACTGTATCCATAACGAGCAGCAAAATGAAGAGGCGTTAACCCATCTTCTCCGATTATGTTTACATCTGTAATAAAAATTATTTGTAAATGAAAAGTGCAGCCTCTAAACTTTATATAAAGCAATTTTTTTAGCATATACATTCTTTTAAATTTTTTTACTGCAGTGGATATTCCTCAGTGTCGGGGCTTGTTATATTACACTATCAGAACATTATTTATTATTTAAATGGTTCTTTCACACATATCATTATAAGAAGTGCAAAATAGAAAAGTTAAAAGAACAACTATAAAAAAGCACTTTATGCTAAAGTCCACGGAAAGGCAATTGGTTAGTGTGATCATGTAGTGTACTCTAATGGGATTCACCATTGCTACACAGAAATATGCAAATTTTTGCATCTGTTTTTTCAGCATGTAGGAAAAGAGGGGAAGTATAATCCTTCAAATTCTAATTTCAAGGACCTTATGAAATAAACAGATAAAAATTTGGTACTTATATATTATCCTGTCGACTGGGAAAGTTTGCTATCAGTGAAAAATCAAAATTGGCCAAAACTAAAATGTGTGTATCATTACCATGGAATTCTGAATGAACTAATGTCTCTTTATTTATTAACAATCAGTATTTGACTTACTTCCTTTTTGCACTTGCACTAAAAAAATTTTGCACTAAAAAAGGTTTTGCTGATTTCTACCGTTTTGTTATACCCTCCAATTTAACTGAAAGTTTAGAACACTATATTACAAACTTTCCCACAGGTAACTGTTCCAATCTATTATTTTTTTGTTAGCCATATTCAGCTAACTGTCTGGTGTCCATTAATACACACCTTGTTTTATGGTAGAATCCTGTTACAATAAAAATAATACACTGCTAGTTGTTCTGTAGAAATCAAGTCCCAAATTTTAATCTCCCCCCCCAAAAAAAATACAATAAAAAATAATAAAAATATTATTCGTTTGAGCAGACTAAGTCCAAAAAACAAAACAAAACATGCAAATATAAGAAATCCAATGCATGGGGAAAAAAATCGATTTGCCATTGAGATTAAAAATGCCCGAAAAATGCATACTGAATTTTTTTAATCTAAAGGTTCATCCTATCATTTTTAATGGCTTGTTTCTTAAATAATTTACTCTTGAATAATTAGTTATTTTTCACATAAATTATTATCTTTGGAACCAGGCTACAGTTAAACTGAAGAAATTAATGGAAAAAAAAGAGATTATTTTTTATTAATCTTCATAACCTGCATATTATAAGCCATTCTACATGTTATATGCATTCACAATGTTACACACAACTTTTCCCAAAAAGTACATTTTACATTTATTATATTACCTCTTAAAGTTATTTAAATCAATGAAAAAATTCAATTAATTTAGAACTGGCATAATTTAATTTGGCTTAAAAAGCAAAAATAACTGTATTTACAGAAAGCTCAAGTCATATTGTAAATTCTATTACCTGCAAAATAAATTTAAAAAAATTAGGTAATATACCTGCACCCTTTTGCAAAAGAAGTTCGGTCACAGTGACATGATTATAACGAGCAGCGTAGTGCAGAGGAGCACGCTTATTGTCATCTAACTCATTTACTTTTGACCTACATGCTTCTGGACTCAGATTATCCAAAAAGAGTTTCAAATTTTCAAAATTGCCATCTCGTGCTTCCTAAGGGTGTTTTAAATGATATTATTAAATATTCTAGACATCTAAGGTATATATCTAAAGTAAATATTAAGGATTATATTATTTTAAACCATTCAAAATCATTGTTAGTTAAATACTTATTAAACCAAAAAAGATAAGCAAACTACAATACATTTAATTAAATAAAACAAAAAATATACATTTTTGACTATTTTAGAGTCAATATTCTTGTACACAGTAAACTTTGGTATTAAGTTAACATGAGTAATACAATTAAATTTTTGTGCAAGTGCAGTGAAAACAGTAAACTTCATCATAAATTAGATCAAAAATTATATATATAATAAAGTAATGATGATAAGTAAATCTGTCATTTCATTAACTAAGTGAAAATGTATTTGCTCATTAATGATGTGTAGCAATATTCTGCGAATTATTTACATTACCTGCAATTTCAGGCTAACAATTTTTTTTATAGAAAGATTTATATAGCAGTTCTGCCAATGATATCACTGCTAAATTAAATACTAAGTTGTTTTTATTTCTTTTGACAGTGTTCTTATTCTCAAACATTACCAATAAAAGTCCTTAAAGTTGATTATTAAATTTAGTTCTTTGTTCACTGAAATAACTAAACTAAGAGAGATATTTTTGATATTTGAACTGATGATGAAAATAGGTTTCTTCACTAGACAAACAAAGGTGGTGGTGTGGTGACAAAATTGTTTGGAGTGTATTGTCCAAAAGATTCAATTCTGTCACATTCCTAGTTGTACAAAGGATGGTCATATCATATTAAAGCTAAATCAAAATCAAATTATATCAGTTCTATAGTTAACGCAAATTATCTGGAGCTATATTATAACTCCAGTTAGCTCAGTTAAAAAATGTGCTTATCCAAATCTTGGGCTTAATTCAAAATAGGGCTAAACATTATTACAGTGGAACATAGGTGCATGTTTTGAGCAATATGGGGAACCTCCAACATCATTTCACACAGAGAGAAAACATCCAAGGCCAGCACCAGAGACTTTACAACTGGTGCAATTATATCGGGCAGCAAAACTTTTAGAATTCAGAGAATTAAACATGCAGCAAAATTTAGCGATGGTAAAATTTTTAGAATTTAATTAAATAAAACAAAGGAAGAAAACAAAGGAGAAGGCACTGGGTAACAGAATTTAGCAGTGCAAAAGTTTTAGAATTTGGGGTGTTGTTAGGCAGCAAAATTTAGGACCAGAAAAGATTGGTCCAGGTTGCAAAATACCTAGCACTGACCCTGGAAACACATCACCCAGAAAAAGGGTGCAAGAGTTTGAAAGTTACACCCAGATACATTACCACAATATTCTCCATACTAATAGTTGTCATCTCAATGCAGCAAATGCTAAATGTGGAAAATATATCCCCAGCTCTGACTCAAATCATGAGTTTATGTTTGATCTGATGCAACAAGTACTAAGCTGGCAGACAACAATTTGCACGTTTGATTCCAATTCATGAAACTCAAATCATAGAATATATCACCAAGCCAATCATAGGCAAGAAAGTGGTAAAAAGAGAAGTGAACCTACTTTCTACCATCATTGAAACAAGTAGATTGCAGCACCTTCTGGTCTCAGTATAACAGAGTTCACACATACCTATGGATAAAATAAAGTTTGTGCACAGCCATTATCACAAAAGGGTTTGCAGAAATCACATATGTAAGCAGCAGGTAAGAAACAATGTAGAATACATTAAACTACAAAAAGAGATCAATGACTTCCCATTGGACCATGAGTGTTTGCTTGGTTTGAATAATTACACAATGGGTTTTCAGGTTTTGATTCTAACTAATGATGGAACTATGGCTAGACTTGTTCGCAAGTGAAGTTTCTGGATTCACTAATAAGGCACGAGGGAAAATTTTTCTTTACAAATTCATGACACTACCTCCTCAGTGGTAAGACAGTCACAATGATAAGGATCTGTAATTTGTAATTCTCAAGTGGTGACAAGGACATCGATATAAGAACTAATTACAGAAACTCTGTAATTAGTTCTTATATCGATGTCTTGTTCATACAGGAAGTGTTGGTGTCCAAGCAGCTTATTAGGAAGCCTGCAAGCATTCCGTACTGTACAACGTATTGACGTGCAATTTCTGATGTAATTATCCATTAATTTGCAGAGAAGAATCAGGTTCATGAGGCAAAGTTTTCTTGTCAGCAACTGATTGATTAAAGAGGAGCAAGAAGCCCTTGATAACTGCAACAAATATTTTTAAGTCAGAGAGTACTTGCTTGGCTTCTGTAAGTGTTTCAGCAGCCAGTCTGTTTGAAAGGGCTTGTGAATACGATTTTTTGGTTACAAACTGATCTGTGCAATTTTTTTTCACCCATTTATAAGATTCATGCATTTCTCCACATTGAACAAAAAATGATCCGTGGTGACAATGTGACTGAGAGTTGTGGAATCCTTGGAAGCAGTAACACTGCAAGGAATCCTTGGAAGCAGTAACACATCCAAGATAACGTTCAACTTGGATTTTTATACCATACATAAATTTGATGTTATAGATTTGGGAACTAAAGTTTTCAAATCCCTTCCGACAAGTTTTAACAGGAAAAGTGGTAGGTAAACAACCTCACCATTGCACTGTCGTACCATTTGATTGACATGAACCACATCAAATCCTTATTCTTCAAGGTCTTCTTCTAGTTCCTCAGCTTTTATGTAGGTTAGCATCCTGCAAATAATGACTTTTATGTGCTTATTTTCAGGAAACTGATAACAGTAATAAAATATGCCTTCATCATTAAACACTTTCGTGCCAAACCTGTAATCTTACTCAATGTCACTTTAGACCAATGAATAACATGGAAGCTCCACATTACACACATAATTCCCAAGTTTCATAAGTGTAAAGCTACTTTTCATCCCTTTATTCGGCAGAACTGTTTTATCCTTAGATAACAAATTACTCATCTATAACACCAATTTGCGTCCCATTGTTGTCTATGCCTGTCCTGTCTGGGGATTTCTTTTAAAACTACATTGAATAAGCTGCAAATAAGTCATATAAAACTACATTGTAATTCATATAAAACTACATTGAATACAGTAATTCATATAAAACTACATTGAATAAGCTGCAAATAAAGTATGACTTTAAGACAGATTTCTCAAGCACATTGGCTCTAAAGAAATGCAAAAAATTCATGAGGAACTCAGTGTGAAACTCATCGCTGAATTCATGGCAAAAATTGCCAAACATTTTTCAAGAAAATTACACTGGTAAAAAGTGTTTCAATACTGTATTAAATTATGGCCCACTTTGACATGGATAACCAATGACAGCTAGGAGCGGTCTCTTATAGCACTCAATTTCTTTCCATACCTTTTTGTCTTTGACTCCTCATTTTTATTATTCATATCATATTATTTTATTTTTCATATTTAATTACCTATGTTTTGCTTGTAATCTAGTATTACTCATGTTCTGCTACTGATACATTGCTACTGATACTTTTGAATAGACATATTTTGTTAACAGAGAGATATAAAAAAAGTTCAGAAAATGGCCTTAAGCATTATCATACATTAAGAGTCTGAATGGAAAATAGTGGTAATTGTAGACTGAAGAAAAGGCAATGAAATCGTGAAGTAGCATGTCAATTTAACAATTCTTTCTGGTGGCTAGAAATGTAAATTTTAAAATTTAAATAAGTCACTGGAAAAAGCACTTTTTTAATATTTTGTGTGCTTAACTTGCAGCATACTAAAATGCCAAACAAAATGACTTGAGCTTGAATGAAAAAAATTTTTTTTGTAATATTAGCAACTACAAGCAGAGAAAATTTAGTAACTACAAGCAGAGAAAATTACATTTAAAATGGGCATTTCTCAAACAGCATTGAGCAGTTATTTTATATGAAATGTACTTAATGAAGAAGTAGTAAAAAATGCAAATTTCTCAAGGAAGAGCAAAAAAAGATAGAGATTATTAGACAGAGATTATTTATTTAAAGCTATGAATAACAACTGCTTATTGCATGTTTGATAATTTTGATTGCATACCAAGGTTCTAGCAAAAGGTTATCCATTGCTTTTTATCACTTGTTTGACATAATTTCAGATCACCGCATTAAGGTAGATATTGCGATAAATGATTCACGGGAATATATATCCAGTGAATATACAAGTTTGTGTATACATTATATAATGAAATTTATCTTGGCTTTCACTCCGGTTTTCCTCCAAAATTAATCACATTTATCTCTTTTCCACAAAACTAGCTCATCAGACGATGTAATTGCTTTTCTAGAATAGATTTAAGCTATAAAGCTAAAAAATATCTCTATTTCTAGAATTTTTTCACCTATTCGCTAAATGGTAAGACATAAGTTTATATCAACTGCGAGACTGGTGTGGGCAAAAGAGAAATCCAACATTGTTCATCACAAATTGTATCGCGAGAAGGAAGAAGCATATCATCATGAAATGAATAAATTGGATAACAGACATTTTACCTGTGCTACCAAATGAGTACAAGCCACTCGAAATTTATAATGTAGATGGAATTGGACTGTGTTACAGTTATCAGAGTAAGCATTAATATTTAAATGTGAAACTGCAGTTGGTTTAAGAAACTGAAAGAATAAGTTACTGTGTTATTAATGTGCAGTATGGACCCAACAATAAAAAAGACAGCACTGACTATTGACAACAGCAGAAAACCTTGATGTTTCAAAGAGAAAAAAAATTACATACTAGAGCAACAGGAACTTATAACAAGCAATATTCTTGCTGATTTTCTTTTGAAATGGGACAGTGAAGTGAATAATGAAAAAAATAGTTTTACTAATTTGAAAACGGTGCAGTATACATGCCTCTAATCTGTTTCTGAAAAATATTAGCGTCTCTTCCTGCAAAAATGTGAAACTGCAGTTGGTTTAAGAAACTGAAAGAATAAGTTATTGTGTTATTTATGTGCAGTATGGACCCAACAATCAAAAAGACAGCACTGGCTATTGATAACAGCAGAAAACCTTGATGTTTCAAAGAAGAAAAAAATTACATACTAGAGCAACAGGAACTTATAACAAGCAATATTCTTGCTGATTTTCTTTTGAAATGGGACAGTGAACTGAGTAATGAAAAAAATAGTTTTACTAATTTGAAAACTGTGCAGTATACATGCCTCTAATATGTTTCTGAAAAATATTAGCGTCTCTTCCTGCAAATACAACTTCTAACAAATTTTGGGTTGTTATAAAAGTTTTCAAATGTTAATATTAAAAATACATTCGGTAAATTAAAAAGAGAATTATATTTTGCAAAAATGCAGGCACTTCGAAGGAGATAAGTAAGTCAATATCTCTGCTAGAGGTTATTCATATTATAGTCAAATGTTGAGGTTAATCTCTTAAAATCATTTAAACACTATTTTAAAAAAATGTGGCTCTTACATAGAAAATGCCTCATGGGAATTGCAAACTATAGCTAATTTTCAGATATCAGTGAGGGAAGTCATCAGGACTTTTAGAATATATATCAGTTCACAACAAAATTTACATAGCGGATAAAAACTGACTATGAAAGTGCTAAAAAGAAATGTAGAAACTGACAGTGAAAGTGATGGCATACCAACATCAATCAAATCTATAAAAGCACAGAAAATTCTACAAAAACTTCTTGAACAAAAAATAGTGATCATAAAAGCTACCATCAGTTTTATGAAATTGAGAATGCAATTGAAAAACTGTTACTGAACAATATGAAACAAATATACACAGAATAGTTGTTTTTAAGAGATAAAGTTTCATTAAGAATTTAATTATAAAAATTTCGAAATGTAAATATGTTCACTTTAGTATCAATTGTTAAAATTTGTATTAGAATTAATTGATCAAGTACTTGTTAGTTGTTATTTTAACGCAAAATTTTAAAACCGATATCACCGTATGTAATAAAAACTGCTGTCTATTAAACTCAGATGCTTAATAAACTCAAATACATTTGAAATGAAAGTGATTTTAATAAGTGTCAGGTACTGCATGCATTTTTCTCCTGTCTTTTTAATGACAAAACAACTTTGTTTTTAAAGATCATGTTATTTCAGAATTTATTTCCATTTAATTCATTTACTAAATAAAAAGTTTGGTTTATTTATGACAAAGCATACAAAGGGCTATCTGCCTAAGGAAAGGGAAGACTTTCTAATGGATATTGGCTCGTATACATGTTACACATGGGGAAAACCACAAAAATGCTCATGCAGTCAGCCTGTTTGCTGACATCCGAATCATGGACCAAACTACCAGTGTTTAGCAACTTGGCAGTGGGTGGGCACTACAAAATAAAAATAAATTGAGAGAAGAAAGAAAATTGAAAACAAATCATTCTTTTTAGCTTAATGAATGTGATATTAAAAAATCCCATTCAAATGAAATTTCAGAACAATCAAAGTGCAGATCTTAAAACACACTTAATGAATGTGATCCTAAAAAATCCCATTCAAATGAAATTTCAGAACAATCAAAGTGCAGATCTTAATGCCATTTAAAAAACTTATCTAATCATGAATTTTTGAAGTTTCATTTTATTTATAGCAGAGTGATATTATTAGTCAGGTATTATTAAAACAGAAATAACATTTTATACAAGAATGCAAAGACAACATAATCACTAAATCAAAATTTCTCAAAACACTTGTGAAAACTCAAAGAACTTGTGAAACACCATATTAATCTACAATATCTTCATAATCTGACCTTCAAGTTTACAGATTAAAACTGATAAAAAATAAAGAAATCAAAAATGAATTCTTTAACTCTTTTGCATTGAAGTTGCCCCAAACGCCCGAGCATTCAGACATTGGCTGGACGCCCAAAACGCCTGAACAATTTCCTACCCAGTGCTTTCCCCTATCACGTTACTGCATTACTCATTGCTTTCAGGTATTGTAAATCACATGTCAATCATTCTTTTGAAGCTACTAAAAGTAGCTTTCTTGTTTCCTTTGTTCCTTCCTTTCCTTTGTTTACTGTCAGTGTTTAGCTTTTGATGCCCGAAGTTGCAATCCCGTCCCAAGGGGGAACTTCACATAGTGTCAAAGCGTCGAAGAAAGAAGTTCTCGCTTTACTTAAGTAAGGCTATTGTTAGCGCTGTAGTATTCAACTTGTCATGGGGGAAGGAAAAGCATTCCAGGAGAAATTCTTAGATACGGGCGTTTTCGATGTTTGGGGAATTGAGATTTTGCCCTCTTTCGATGCGAAAGAGTTAAACATGCTGATAAAACTTTTGAAAGGTTTGTATTTTTTACATCATAAAAATTGAAAAATGTATAAAATAAACTTACTTGATGCAATTTTACGAAAGGTTTAATGGGAGCTCCACTCTCATCAAAACTTTTTAACTTTGGTACAGAGGCTAAAGGCACTTTTACATCTCCACCATATCTAGCAGATCGTGAAACAAATTTTGTATTTAAACTTTTTTCACTATGCTCATCATCACTTTCTGCTTGAATACTGCGACTGTTGTAAATGGAATACTTTACTTTCGCATATTGGTTTGCCATAATCAAACTGTAATATGATTAAATTATAAAAAATTAAAAAAGGGTAATTAAAAAATTCACGATAACTAAGGAATAAAGAAATTTAACATTTTATTACAATGTTAACAAGGAAGAAACTTAAAACACTACTTTAAAAAGATGTTATGTAACTAAATGTCACTTAAATGGCTGGCAATAAATTAATGGTGTCTCTCTACGAAATTAATTAAGTTCATGAAAGGTCACAACCCTCACTAAAAATACGAAAATTAAAAAACTTTTGTGGAGGCACTATAAAAAAATTATCAATGACAAAAATGTTTTCCAAAAACAAATTAGCGAAAATGGGGGAATCCTCTTACAATGAAAATTAAGCAAAATATTAATCAATATTTTTAGGGCTGTGCAAATATTTCTAAAACATTATGTTAGACACAATGGTTTCAAATTTTCATTTGTAGAAAAGATAAATTTTGAAATTTTTCATAATGAAGTCAGATGTCAGGTCTTTTTGTCAGGGGTAAGTGCTTTAAGTCACATAATTTTATAATTTCTTTCAGGTCAATTTTTCATATACAAGTTTATTTTAAGATCATTAGTAGGATAAGGGACAATTTACTAATTGAAATCTTTTTTCAATACAGAAACCAAATAAAGATTTATAAAAAATGCATATTTCTATTAAAACACAAAACTAAAATTTTTATAGCTTGAAATTTTACAGTATCTTTATTTTATATTTTTAAAATTGTAACCACAATGTGCACATTTAGCCATATTTAGTTAAGAACTTATCAAAACATTTAATAGTAGTAATGTTTTTATGGTTCTTATATAGTAGCTCAATGTCCCTTTTAGAAATAACCAAAATTTAAAATATGCCCAACTCTGGTAACCATATGCATTAAAATTATTCATACAACCATGTGCATGACAAATATTCAGTTTTCAAAGTTGCCATTTGTGTACTATGCATACTTTTTTTTTTTTTTTTTTTTTTTTTTTTTTTTTTTTTTTTGTATTCCAAATTCCAATGGTTTTATAAATGAATTGTGTTTTTTCCCCCTTAAAATCAATTTTATAATATAGTGCTTATAGAATTTTTTAGTACAAGAAAGAAATTGTTTTATGGCAGAAATCACTAGAGGAACAATGCTTAAAATCCTTTCTCAAAGTGATTGCTATGAAATTTATACCACAACAAAAACTCGTTTGTAACTACATTTACTGACTCTTTTTTTAAATAAATATATAATTGAAAAGAAAATATTTATGTTGTGTATAATTTTTTACAATAAAATGTAACTCCTCTTTTTCTTCCATGAAATTCAACAGACTGTGCCAAGGTTGCTGCGATAATACGCAAGTAATATTTTATTTAAGAAAAGAAATAAAAAATTTGCATTCCACATAAAATGACTTTTTAAATGACTAAGACTTACTGAGAAGCATTGCTTCATTAATATCAATTCATTAATATCTAAGATAAACTAAATGGACATTTTTAATAAAACTCTATCAATTTTGAAAATGTTTTATTCAAAATCTAGACCAAACTAAGGTTGCTCTTTTGCACAATTTTAAATTTTACATTGGTGTGCTTCTTTTCCATTTAAACATTAAACGAATTTTTAAATAATTTATTCTGCATTTTCGCAATACAGAAGAAGCATGGAAAAACAGTACGTTTCTGTTCTGCATCTGCAACATATTTTGGCACCTGAGAAAGAGAAGTCAACTAACCACATACATGGCTTAATTTCTAAAATCAGAAGAGCTGGAGCCCTACATTAAATCATTAGGAATGATGCATAAAAATTGGTATGAACAAAATAATAATAATTAAAATACTACACTACAAGAAATTATAAGCTAAAAAATAAATGATAAGGAACATTATAAATTGCTATTCAATAAATTATAGGTAGATAAATAATTAATTAAATAAGTAATAAGTAAAATATAAAATTTAAATCAGTCATGAGGCAAATGAGATACAAGAAAATTAATAAATACGGTAGGTTACGGAAGATAAAAAGACGAGTAAATACTGCAAACAATAAATTTTGCTTTTTTTCATAATTGTGATACATGCTGCTTTTAATTCAGTTAATCAATATTGATCTTCATATTTGAATAAATATATTTATCCTAAATAATTTTTCGGTACTTTTCTGTTTCGCCAGCACAAATCTCACCAAGCAGACTTTGTTGGCGACAGCATACAGTATGCACAAAAAAATGTTAACAAATTTTAGTTCTAAGAATTTTTTATTTTGAAGGCATAAACATTTTAATATGGTTTAAAATTTTGTAAAAAGCCAATAAATAAAGACAATAAATTTGTAAAAAGACATTAATTTAAGAATTTACTATGCTTTCATGGTTCAACATCCTGATTTGCCGGTTCATATCACGTGACCCCAAGTGATCTCCTCTCTAAACTATCTAATTCTCTCAGTAATTACCTACATTAACTTCAAGTTAAATCTTAATTTGGAATACAAGTTTAAATGCAAGAATTATTTCAATTCATACAAACAGCTTACTCAGAAATTACGTAAAATCACAGTGCTTTACTTCGCTAGTGCATTCTCGTTAGAATTGATGAATTTAACACTTGATTTTGCCTTTTCTATATTTTCACCTTCAGGTGAGCGATGTGATTGCATTCTAATTGACTTAATTACCGCAAATGTTCGCAGGGCATAATAACTGTCTTGTAAACATTCTATGTAATTGTATGCCAGTATTGAAAGAAACAATTAATCTAATAAGAAAAGGCTGCGACTTGTTTTGAAAATGAAGCGTAAAAGGTCACTAGCGAAGATATTCCATTTGGCATCAGTTGTATCATTATTGGCAACTTTATCGTTTGCACCGCCAAAACGGAAAAGTACCAATTTTTCTACAGATGTGCAAAAACTAATAGTCACATTTTTAAACAAAATTTTAACTTTTTATTCACTTTCACACCACCTATATTTTTAACATTAAATTTTATGCAAAAAAGTTCAATTTTATGAATGACCATTAAACTCTTATATAATTATTTTCAAAGCTTATGCTTCAAACTATGGGGAGGGGAATACCAAAGATTAATATGTGCTCCTGAAATTTAAGCACAGCCTACGAACGGCTGAGCAGTAAAATCGCTGAACACTACTAGTTCGACTCGAGGTGCGAATCCCACGAACAGACTGGCTGCACGGGCATTTTCATGGTTTTCCCCATACCTAACATATGTGTATATGACAGTTTCTCTTAGAAAATCCACCATGAAGGCATCCCTCCCACTTAGGCAGATACCCCTCAAGGTTTTGCTGTAATCATATAAACCCAAACTAAACTGGAATTTAAGCTTTTTATTAAGAACTGTTGCTAAAAGATAAAATAATGCTTAAATACTTTATAACCTTAATTTTGAATGAAATTCTCCAGGAAGTTCTTTGAAAAATTTTATTTCTATCACATTTAAACTAATATTTTTAACATAAATATGTCCTAAGCATATTTTTAATTTTCCTTTAATAATGAGATTGTGTAACATGCACAAAAATGCATATATCTTCTTATTGCGATTAGCAGAAATATATCTTAGTCAATTTGGACTTTAAGTTTTGCTGACTTCATTCTTAATGTTACTTATGGTTTTTCACATTGCTTAAAAGGTTTGAAATATGCAGAAATTTAAGCTAATGACACAAGTTTATGCACAACATGAGTTTTAATTTTAATGCACTATACAGTCAAAAGTCTTTAATCTGAGCATGCGTAAACGCATTATGCATTTTTAAGCTTGAACTTTCGATTGTGTCAAAAAGAATTTCCGATTCTGAAGCTGCCAAAGGATCTACAAAGTGAAAGCATGTTTCCATGTCCATCAAACAAAAAGTTAAATTGCTGCAAAAAAAAATGGATAAAGGCATATCCTTTGTTTCTCTAACCATTTCGAAATCTGTTTATCAATTTCATCTCGATGTATTCCATCTTTGATATGATTTAAATCAAAATCCTCATCATTATAAATATCACGAATACACATCACAAATAGTTTTCTGGTTGCAATTTTCTAATTTCGAATATGCGTAATGTATGCTTTACGCATGCGAGCGTTGAAAGAAATGTTGAATAAAGTAAACAAATAAATATTAAGCTTTTTTTTGTACATTTTGATACCCTTTAGATCATAATTGCTCTTTATTTCATAAATTATGGTTTCATATTTTTAATTTTATAATTTCTGCATGCCATCTTACCAGATTTAAACTGCTGATCTATAATCCGGAAAAACCGATAATCCGGATTCGCCGAAGTCCCAACGAGTCCCGATTAAAGACTTTTGACTGTACTACTTTTGTTATTAAACAAAAGTAATTAAGTTTCTAAACTTTTAATTATGAATACCATAAAATCGATATGTAAACAAAATACCAGAAAATTGATATGTTAACATATGGAAATAAAATAAAAATACATGGAAAAAATTTGCAAATTTTAAAAATATAAAATTTCGGTTTACTGACAAATTGTTAGTAAGTTTTAAATTACTGAAGTTCAATTTCGTCAATGAATTTGCTATTCAATGGCATTTATTTTTAAAAGAAAACAAATTTCAAAAATTTAACACTTGCATCATTTGTTAGAAAATATATAATACTACTTCTTCCAAAAACGCAACTTGAATTCTGAATTTATACATATCTTTATTGGAATAATTCTTATATTCCGCCATATGGGAAAAGTGATTAAACTGTTCTTTTTCCAGGGCATAAATCAAAAAAAGGTTAAATGATGTAAATATGTGTAACTGTTGAAATAAATTAACATAAATGGCATTTTGAGCTTCATAGTTTTTTAAGTGTCCGAAAAATGTATGAGAAATTATACTAATTAAAATACAGAAATGAAAAAAAGCAATAAAAATTTACATAAATTATGTGAATATTAATATTAATGTAGCACATTTATTCACACACATTACAAACTAAGCAATTTTTCCTAAACTGTTCATAATAAATGCTAGAA